TAATAACTTATGGGCCTGTTTTAGGACACTCTTTGAATATGTACTCTAACACAATAACTGTACCTTGTTGTTCATCCACTATAGCCTTAAGTCTGTTGCACTCTGTCAAATACTTGTCGATCATATCCTTAGCTTTCTTCTTAACAGCGTCACACTCTTTTCTGAGCGCTTCCATTTCACTTTGATCTCCAGGGTGCGTAGAATTCTAAAGAAAGGGAAAAAGAGTACTCGATAAATACAAAAACTTCTGTATATTAAGGGGTGGCAATTCCTGACATTATCTTGGAATTCCTACCGCATCGTTAAGCACAAAAGATAAAAAAATATGTATATTGAGACATTTAAAAACTTAGCCATAGACAACAACAGCCCCCTTCCCCCAATCCGCAAGGTTTTAAAATGTGTAAAGAGGTTCTTGGATCGAAGTTTCTAGCCTTTAGAAACAAAAAATATTTTTTTTTTTTCCCACAACTTAGACAATTTTTGTACTCTATTTCCTCATGGGTAACTCCTAGAATTCACCATAAGACCCTGCTGAGTGATACAGGTGCAGTGTTCTCCTCCCTTTTCCAGACTCTTGAAATTGATAGCATTTCGTAGATGAATTGCATCTCCGGAACGGAACGGAACAACAAGAAATGGTTCTTCTCCTCCCTACGTCCACTTGACTTACTTGTGCAGTTTCTCTTATTTGGGCGAGGTCTGAATGAAGTTGGGTAACTGCGTCTTTTTTGGCTATACTTTCTTCAAGTTCTTCAATTTGTGGAAGATGCTCCTCTTCTTCATCTGCAGAGACCAAAGATAAAAATTGTTTCTTTTTAAAGCGAAATTTGTCGCAATGAGTCAACTATGATTGTAAGAACATAGAAAGGACTCTATAAATGGCTCCTTTTCAAGGCGACATTTGATGTAACGCGTCAACCTTGAATGCGAGGACATAGAAATCACTGTAAAGATAATGAAAACCGGAGTCCTCCGTTTTGACTTCGTCTTTTGCCATGAGTAACAGTGATGGCAAAGTAAGCTTAAAACGGCAGAAACCGCCAGAAACTACAACGGACACACGGGATGTGAGTAAGTTTTATTGAAAAAACTAAAAGGG